GTACTCAAGTAGGGAAGGAATGAAAAGTAAACTTATAACTACTGTATGTATTGTCCAACCACCATAACATCTTAAAATGAACACCACCTCCTTAATAACCCACCTTCTACAGTACACTCTCCAATCAAACATAAATTATAATGTTAACCCTATCACCTACATTCTTATATTAACTTTGTCTTTATTGATTAAGTTGTCTAGATATTTAAATTCCATCTAAACCCAGAAAACAAAAACAACACCCGAGTATCATGGTCCCCTCAGTACAGGAGGATAAACAGAATCTAAACTTCATTAAATGTGTGCTGCAGCAGCACAGATCACATGTACAGTTAATGATTGACTGTCAGTATCATGTTCAAAGTCTAAGAGGGAACCTTAAGTTATACTTTTGCTAGACTTTAATATTAATTAACTTATTTAAGATCAAGAATCAGGAAAAGAAAACAATAACAACCTGTTTAGGAATTGATCCACCCTTTGATTTAGAGTTCGCAACCCTAAACTGCCTCCTAGTGGTGATTTTGGCTACTGCAAGAACAAAAGTAAAGCTCCTTCATGAGGTGCATTATCAGGTAAACTTCTATCAGGACATGCATGCTGCTGAATGTTGAACTAGCTTAGAGGTTTTGGTCGTTCTCATGGAAACGGTGGAGGTGGTCAGAGTACCTGAAGGAGAAAAAGAGAGATTGAGAAAATTGAAAACGTGAATAAACATGGTGTTAAATCATAAATGTTCAAGCTTCTGATTCAGCTGCGGGAACAACAAACTCACTTCTTGGCGCAGAAAGCAGTGCAGTCTCTGCCGATGCTCTCACTCCAGGCGGTCTTGTACAGCACCTGGAAACAAAACACAGTGACCAGTTAAGATGTGTTTGACTGAAGCCGATGACAGAGAGACATTAGTTTGTTTTATTGCTAACATGCATCGGTCAAAACTGAAGCCACAGTGTCAAATACAGGTTGAGTCACATAGAAAGCGAAACAAAAGTCCATGTGGGCAAAACTCTTAATTTGCTTTCACAAAAAAATATAATCAATGCCCACATTTTCCAAAATCCAAAAACTATTTTCTCAGTCATACTCACCCACCTGCAAAACACTATATATTTGCAGCATATTTTTCAAATGCTAACACACTGTCTTTAAAACGTCTTCAAAACAAATTTAAAATACAATCACGGCAAAATTCTATAATCATATTGAAACACATAGTGTTTACAATAAAATGAAATAATAATCATTCCAAACATCTGATTGCAATTGCAGCTAAAAGCCTACCAGGTGTCCTGTTTTGTCTTGTTACCAGACAGACAAAAGAGCACAGCTTCAGAATTATTTTGTTTGGAAACATTGAGCAAAGAAGACACGTTGGTGGGGACAGAAGAGTGGCAGGGAAGGGCCGAATTCATGGAGGACAAAGGAGCGAAAGGAGCCTTCTGAGTGAGCACTGTTTCCAGTCTTATGGTCGAAAAAGCTTATTTTGAGACATGTATGATGTGTTTTGGTGATTTGAGTGAGTGTTTAAGGTGAGATTAACTAACTGTTGGCAATACAGACCGCAGAAAAAGTAGCTTCAGTATTAACTGATGTTTGTTAGCAATAAAAAAAACTGCAATGTCGTGTCAGAAGCTCCTCAGGGGTTGAAAGGAAACTGACCAGGAAGACCAGACAATGCAGGAACAGGGTGTAGAAGAAAGCAACGGTTCTGGCCATCTTGTTGGAGAGAATCACACGACCCTGAAAGACACAAAGACAGGAGGATAAGTCAAGCACCAAACACATACAGTGTGTGTGTGTGTGTGTGTGTGTGTGTGTGTGTGTGTGTGTTTGAGGCTTACCAGGCTAAGAGTTGCTTTATCCCAGGGGCTGAGGCTCAAATATCGGCGCTGGCGCTCCTGTAAACACAGAGTAGTTGACTTCAACAAAAACAACAACAAAAAAACACTGTCTTTTGAAAGTGTGAATACGTGCAGACCATGTTTTGGTAACACACAAGTGCTATCAAAATCTAATACACTTTTAATACACTAATACATTTTACACACTGCCAATCTGTGGTGTTCAGTTGCTTCAGTAAATTATTCTGAGTAAAGAGGTGTCATTTCCATCAATTGTCCTACATTTCCCAGAATGACTTTCAACAAAACCCAAAAAAATGAGGTTTGTTACTTGTATCCCATCATCATCAGTGACAGCAATAAAATCATCATGTCATGTTTCCTGATGTAAGCGTTCGTTGCACACGGCATGTTCAATGACCGTCAGAAATTTCAGCCTTCACCATTTCTAGTAATGATAAATTGAGTCATTTTGGCGTTTTGTTTTTTTTTTTTTTTTTTTTAAACAAACATGCCTTTCAAACTCACCGGCAGGTTTTGGGGCACAGAGTCCCTTACATGTTGGCTAAACTGGTGTCTTATTCATAACATCCATAAATGTTTTCTAGATGACTGCTGTTGTGTGGGGATGACACTAGATGAAGCTCTGTGGTAGCTGTGCTGGAAACACGATGCCCTGTCATCCATGTTTGGTCAGTTGTCAGTTATCACAGTAAGAAACTACGACAGTAAACAATAAAACTGACAGAGAGATGGCAGGAGGTCGAATGTTTAAAACAAGAATTTCATTTGTGTGTGTGTGTGTGCATTGAAGGTGTGTCTCTTGTACCCTCTTGCTGAAGGAGGCAAACGGGTCCAGTCTCTCCTCGTACTGGGAGGAGTAGCGCATCACGGTATCGTCACTTCCTCCGGCCTACAGCGCAGAGAAAACACACAGATCTGAAATTTCCTGCAAACTAGATTCCATCAAATCAACAACACATCAGAAACAAGATTGCCACCCATGAAGAGCACATTCGTTCATGCACACACACACGCATACTGACGCACTCTGCCAGGGTAGCTCTGCAGGAATTTGATTTTCTCGTAGAGTTTGATGTTGTCTGCTCTCAGGCTGTCCAGTTCATTCTGCAGCGCCTGCATGGTCTGCTGCATGGAGCGATGCTCCTGCAGGGGACAGAGAAAACAAACAGATGAGAAATTAGTTCTCCCAGAAAAAGACATACAGGAATACAGGATATGTGTGTGTGTGTGTGTGTGTGTGTGTGTGTGTGTGAGAGAGCGAGAGGGATCGTGACTCACAGCTTCCAGCTCCTGATTGCGGGAGCGAAACCTCTCCCTTTGGCTGGAGATGATGGAGAGCAGAGAGTCCATCTGGCCCTGAGGAAGCTCAGGATGGGGGCTCACGCCTGAACCTGGAGTTCATACAGATAAAAATAAACTTAAATGCCAGAATTCACCTCCTCTGTTAACATGCAAAAGTGGCCATGTTTAATGATCAACAATACTTTGAAAACAGGTAAACTGAACTGTATTCTGTGGTTAACTTTGATGCTAATATGTGTTTCATTTGCAGACAGGCTGTGTAAGTCTCACTTTAGCAAACATCTCTAAACTGGTCTGTGTCTCGAGTGTCACATGAAAGGAAACAAACGCTTAATCGCTCTAATCAGTCTAGTTTGCAGTATTTAAACAGACACACCTCCTGCAGAGCGTCAGCTCAGCAGGTTCACCTCATTTCAATTACAGAAGTTCTGCTGTCTGCAAGTCAGACTTCAGTCTCTTCACTGTTCAGCCTGTGAGGACTGAAAGTAGACTTACAGGCAGGACAAATAGGTTGTGGTGGTTTGTGGACAACAGCTGTAGAGATGTCTGCCTTTTCTTGAGTATAATGGAACTGAATGGCACATGGTTTGCAGAAAAATAATTTTGACAAACTCAACAGCAGTGTCTCTTTCCAGAAATCATGACCTGGCTGCTGAAGATAATCCACAGATCTTGCTGTGAACAGTTTCATGTAGGAAGTATTTTCTTTCTATGGAGCTACAGCCATCAACCGTATAACTGAACAGAAGGAAGAGTGCATCTACTCATGGATGAGAGGCATGTTCTTGTGACAGCACTTTAAGATGTAAATATTAATGGTGTCCTTCTTAGCTGAGCTTTAACAATAGCTAGCTCAGTGTTGCTAGGTGAGCTAGCAGTAGATGCAGTCGTTCTTCTGCGCAGTGATACGGTTAGCAGGCACAGTTTGTGTATCAGAGTGCATCTACTGCTAGCTCACTTAGCACCACTGAGCTAGCTAACGATACAGCTCAACAGAGGAGGACGCCATTAATGTTTACATCTCACGCTGTCACAAGCCTTTAGTCCATGAGCAGATGCACACTTCCTTCTGCGAGGTGATACAGCTGATGGCTGTAGTTCGGTAGAGAGAAAATAGCTCCTACATGAAACTGCTCACAACAAGGTCTGTGGATTATCTTGAGTAACCAGGTCATGATTTCTGGAAAGAGACATTGCTGTTGAGTTCTTCAAATGTATTTTTTGGCACTTTGAGCACCACAAGCTGAGTGCCACCTAGTTCAAGAGAAGGCAGACATCTCTACGGCTGACATCTCCAACACTCTGCAACTCACACCAAAGCAATCTAGACTGGTAAACAGCACTACAGTTGAGAGGAAAAATATATACCAGTAAACATAGCAGAGGCCTCTTTGATCGGCTCCGGGATGTTCTCCATGTTGCTGACCTCCGACCCGTCAGCGTCAGGGCGTGGCAGGGAGGACATGGCCTGGATGGTGCTCAGGTCGTGCTCCAGCTTCAGAATGAGCTCCTTCTGCTCCGCACTGGTCCGCACTGCAGCTGCAAATTCCACCTGCAGCTCCGCATAACGGCCTGTTGAACGCAGAGAGGAAAGATGAGAGACAATGTGTAGATTATTTCTTAGTCAGGTTTCTTGTTTGGCTTCAGCTTTTATTTGTAGTTACCAAAACATCTCACCTGTGAAGGCTGTAAATGGCAGAAGCAGTCCAATATCCACAACATGACTGAAACCCCTCTACTCTGAGTCTACCCTGATCTCTTTCTCTGAGAATACTTATTTCACAGTACCATCCAACAAGGCAAAGAAAAAAAACTTCCACAGCACACTTTTAGTATTTGTATAAAAGAGATTTACTTCAATTATCACACCTAGGGTGCATGTGAATAATAATGATGATGAATCAAATGTCAATCATAACAAATACATTGTGAACGTTTCATACAGTGATATTGCTTTTCAATGTTGTAGAAGGGACTGTTTTACAGTGCTGAGAACAAACAACATGATACGTTTAGTAAATAGAAAGATAAAGAAACAATGATACATGAGGAAAAACGAAAGGGAGGGAGACCCCGAAAGGAGAAAAAAGCATCTCAGGAGTGACAGAAGTGCGAGGGAAACAACTTTCAAAAAACATCTTAACCATCCCTTTACAGTCATGCAGCCTTTTGTACTACAACACACATGTACGCGCACACACACTCACAAAATAAGCAGTGGGAGAAGTTATGAGAATTATTACTTCCACGTTGTTGATGACAAGGTTGGAAAAAAAATAATCATCTAAAAAAACAAAAAAAACAAAAAAACACTCTGAACTCGCTAAAGCCTCAACAAGCATCTTAAAGCTTTCCAAAAGGAGGGGGGGTGAAGATCTCCCCAGGTCATTTGGTTGTCAGACTACACTGTGGTGTATAAGCTATGGGTGAAACTGAAGCGACGACACAAGGTAGCAACATTCAGAAAACTGTCAGCAACCTTTCAACAGAGGTGGATAACTACTTCACTATTTGGCTTTTTGCTTCCTCTTCTTTTTTTCTTCTTTTTTTTAAGTCTTGCGAGCGTTCGCTGAAATGTTCATCGCTCCAGAGTTGATCTCTGGGCGCTAGAAATTGTACAGTTAAGCGTGAAATAACTGAAGAGATAAGAAGAAATGGTTTTAAGACTTAAAAATTAGCTGAAGCCAATGTGAGAGGTCAGCGAAAAAACAAAAAAAAATAAAACAAAAACAAAAATAGCACGCAAGAAAAGTGGAGGGGGGTTTAAAGGATGAGTGTATTGTGCTGTATTATGTGTGTATGTATTACTGAGTGTGCTATGCATACAGCACCACTGATTCGGAAAGTGTTTCCTTACAAAACCCACTTCATAAGATATATTCTAAAAGTATTACAAAAAACATCTGAGGTTTTTCTTTCTTTCTTTCTTTCTTTCTTTCTTTTTTTTCCTGAATATGGTGACCAGTGCTGCTGTTCGGGCTTCCATTACAACTAATATGTCAAATGAATAACCACTACTTCAACAGATCATACAGTAAAGCTTTACGACTTCAGAAAACATGATATGATATACAGCATCTGTTACACCTTTACAATGTTATTCAACAGTGTATAGAATCATCTGATTTAAATTTGTAGAAAAATATCTGTGGATCATGGAAAAGTCCTGAATCGTCCCTTCTCGCCTCCTGCCTTCAAACAAAAGCATACTGTGACAATAGTGAATCAATAGCTACTTGATCGACCGTATTTACACGTCTCTTTTCCAAATAACCATTAGAATTGGCACACGTCATTATCAATACCTGTAGTGCCATTATTAATGTCACAGCAAACCTGACACAAACAGAAAAATACAAAATGCCCTATGAATAAATTCAGTGTTATTACAGTGTACGCTGTTTCTGCATGCTTCCTCCTTCATTCAATGCTCTGGCCTTTTCGCTGCTAGGTAAGGTTATGTACAACGTAAGAAATGCATTGTGGGAAAACAACCGTCTGAAATAAGACCGCGTGTCTGCGGGTCAGTCATGAGAATACACAAGCTCGGTTTTTTTTCTCCTTTTACTCCTTTTCACTGCACTCCAGGAATTATATACAACCCTCTCCGGAGAGCTGAGGAAACTTTTAAGTACCAATATGAAGTGTATGAGAAATTAATCTGGGTCGAGATGCAGGATATATTCTGAACAAATCAGGCGAAATCCTCTACATCTAATGACATCACTAGTTTGGTGCCCTGCTTGGCAGTTAAAGGCACAAATCTGATGATCTCACGTGGGTTTCGGTGAGTTGATGGATCTGGCTATAAAATGGCAAATGGGTTAAGTGCTTAAATACTTTACAGTAGCTATTCATCACCATTACTGTGGTTGTCCAGTCCAAGCAGTCCGACAGAAGGCAGTACGCCTTCAGTATTCTGCAGAAGACGGATGTTTCACATCAGTCGTCCACAGGAAGCGCCAATGTTTGAGGAATTTTACAATTATTAGATACACTAGAAAATCCAATTTTAACTAATGCATCGTAATGCAGTGCAATGAGGTTATCAGTATCTTTTGACAGGCTGCCAATATATCTGGATGTACATTTAGGGAAAGGGGGAGGCTCGAGGATGGACTGAGGATATTTTGGATAGAAACCAAAACAGGTGTTTACTCATAGTATCTACAACTGTACAGGACAACGGCCCTTTCTGTCACACAGTTATCTGTAGTTTAAAACAAGGGGCTACTGTATCAGAAGAATACAGTTTATCATGTAGAAAACATGGGTATAGCTATCGTATGTTTAAATTTTAGTGTTAGGATGCGGAGAAGAGTCTGTGCTTGGTTCACACCCACTTTTTTTTTTTTTTTTTAAAAAGGCATACATTTCCCAGGATCCCGGGATCGTACTCTGCTGTAGTGTTTACAGACCCTGTCCCAAGTTAAGTCTTCAAAAAAAGATCCTAATAAGTGCTTTGTTACGGACTGCAATAGAAATTCTGCATAATCATAGGCTGGCGATCAATCTGGCGTAGCACCCCTGCTCGCTGGTACACTTCTCTAATCTCAATTTGGCAGATATGACCTCTTTCAAGTTAACTTGTGTTCTCAAGTTTAGGTAATTTCATTTGACCTATTTGACAAAGAGTATACATTTGGACCTGTAAGTTATGTTAACGTGATTAACGAGTGGGCGACCTCTATCTAAAGAAAGCTGCATGCCCTGCCGAGCGTTAGTGTTGGGCTTGCCCAAGAAACAGTCGAAAATAAAAACAAAATCGGAGGATAGAAAACAGGAAAAGAGATATGCTATCATATATTCACTGATCTTGATATGTCCTTTGATTCTCTAGCTAGCAATTTAAGAGCATAACTGTTGTGGTGAAAGCTTAATGCTTACGGGAGCATGAACTGTAGCAAACACATTATTTCAAAGCTATTGAAATGACACTAAACTTTAGGATTCATGAATATACAAACAAATGAGAACTAGTACATCTTTGTAAATATTAACCAATACTGCCGGCAGTCTATACGTCTAATAAAAATGTTACTTGCCCTCAGGAACAGTATAATCCCTTAAAAAATAGACAACTCAAATGATAAGACATTAAATGAAAAATACAGCACCTATAAATAAGCAGAATAAAAACCAAACTATAAATGCAAAATAGCAATAAAACCAAGCTACAGTAAATCATAGTATTACACTACTTTGTGAGAAGATTAATGTAATGGTAACGCATCAAACAGCTTAAAGAAGGGTGTCAGTTGTGCACTAGTAGTGTGTGCAAGTAGATACGAAATATGACCCCACTCATTGGAAACACTGAACACTCCTCAATCGCACACACTTGTGCACACGCATGTATTGACAGGCATGTGTGTACATGCACCCACGCACGCACGCACACATCCACACACACATACACACACACAAAGGGGAGGCAGTAGGCTGACAGGCACTGAGGGCTTGTGTGGGACAGGGAGGAGGTGATATGCCTTATAATTTGTAGTGTATACAGTAGAATTCAATGCAAAACATCCCTGGATACAGGATAGACTGGAGGAGAGTGGTAACTACTCATACCAGGGTTGGGGTGAATTCACTTTGACCGCAACACAAAGTACAAATTTATCCAGTACTCTACGTTGCGATTTATTTGCTAAAACCCTTTTTTTTCAGTCAAGATTTTCATTATTGATAATCAACTTCTTAAATTTGACTCTGAGTGAATTGACCTCGACCCTGACTTACATGCAGGCAAATACAAATGCACACAAGACACACGCACACACACACAGACAAACATACACACACACTCTTCCTGATTTGGCCTATAAAAAGATGTGTGTTTGTGAACAGAGAAAATTTGTTGGTGGTGCAGACACACACACACACCCAGCAGGTCCAGTGCTGGGTGCAAAAGCTGTGACGTGCACAACCTAAAACAACAAGAGACACGTATAGTATCACCATGTCAGACAGCTACAGTACTACGTGAATTCATTGTATCGTATTTCAACAACGCAACATTATTCCACTCTAATTCAGATTTTTTTTTAAAAAAACAGTAACTTGTTATTCTCTTATTTTCTGTTTTAACTTTGTACTAATCAAAAATGCTTCCTAAAATTCCCTATTTTGTACTCTTTAGAGTCAATAGACTGTGCAATCTCTTATTGGCAACCAAATTGCAATATCAAAAAAAGAGATCATCCTTCATCCTTAAAAGAAGGGTTTAAGGAGGCAAAAAGAGGGTTCCTTCCATCCTTCCTCTTCAGATGAGTGCGTGTTTGTGAGGAATTAGAGATCCTTCTGGCCATCACATGGCTGTCAGCAGGATAGGATATGGGACACAACAGGTCAAAGTTCATCTCTCTTAACATCAGTAACCATGGCAGCTCAGCCGGCAGGCCTTCCACTACCCTCTTAAGAGTGTAGGAGTGAGATAAAAAAGAAAACATGCTGCCATTGAGAAGAGAACACACACACGTACACACCATTTTTGGGCGTGTATACACACACAAACAGGTGCACACTGACACAACCCCTAACATACAAACACGCACACACACACGCAGTGAGTGAAAAAGGCAAAGGGTTTGTAACAGTCACTCTACAGTGTGAAAAATGAGGCGTCTCACTGAGTGAGGGGAGGTTTGTGGACACTTGGGAGGTGAGAAGAAGAGCGGAAAAAATCTCCTTTAAGAAAGTGAGAGTTCTTGTAAGAGAGTTCCTGTCTCTATCTATCATCTATCAGTGTCTATCACTGTGACAGCTGCTGTGTCAGGCCTTGCCTGTGTTACTGAGTCCAGGTTTCAACCCCAGCTGTGGGTCAGACCCCAGCTCAGGACTAACCAGTCTGGTGCACCAGTGGCTGGTGATAGGGGGAGGTACAGCAGGGCCGGAGGCCAGCAGGACGGCTAAGTGCTTTTCTCAGTACAAAAACAAAACTCAGTTTAAAAAAAACGGAGAGACACGCAAGTTCTCTTATTTTGTTCTTCTAGGTATTTAGTAAATCTTCTTTTTAAGGGTTTTGCCAACCACTCTTTGTTTCTTTCCTCTTTTCGGAAAGCTTCTATGTAATAAAAATGGCTGCTGAGCTTGACTTTGGCTGTGTCCACTCTCCAACTGGAACAGAGCAGGAGGGGTCCAAGGTTAGAGGTCGTGAGGTTATGAGACAAGAGGGATGAAGGATGGTCAGGGGGAGCTAGAACTCCCACTCTGAGGGATCCTCTTTGCTGGCAGCCTTCTCCAGCCTGTGGATGATGTTATTGAGATTGGCTGCTTTCTTCTTGCGCAGATTGTTGTCCCTGGGGTTTCTGGCAGGGCCAGAGGCTGGGATGTTAGTACTAGAGGCAGAGCCACTGGAGGATGCCTCTGTGAGGCTGAAGAGCCCCAGTCCACCCTGTCCACAGCTGGAGCCTGGCCCGGCTAAGCCTGAGGTGGTGCAGTCTAGCTGGTCAGGGGAGTTATTAGAGCCCCCTGCCTCAGACTCAACCTCCATGTCGTCTTTGCATGCTCCTCTGTGATCCTCCAAGCCAAGGCCCAGTCCCTGGCGTGTCTCCACTGTGCCCTCAGATTCTGTCCCGTCACAGCTGTCCCCCTCTCCTGATTTGGACCCGCGGAGGGAAGGGGAGCCCCCCTCACTGCCAGGCCCCATCCCTCCAGCTGCCTGGATCTCCTCTATGAAGAGCTCTCGCCGGATACGTGACCTGGTAGAGACACACAAAGTCAGTCACGCTACTCAAATCCTGAAATTCAATTTGTCAGACAGAACGCATCGTAAATTTACTGATGTCGAAATACTGCATGAGTGTGCTGATGTCTTTCTATGAGAACAAGACAGTACCTAAAGCTCTTCCTTAGACAATGTCCATTTATCTAACAGTACAACATGATCCACTGCACACATACACACAATCAAATACAATAAACCTTCCTGGAAAATTCACTTCTACATAGGAAAGGTTTATGAATTGCAAACCTACAAATTAATTTCAATAAAACAAACACAACAAGCTACAAAAATACTGTTTTATATAGAAATGGAATAAGACTGAAAGAAATTATCTCAAACACCCTCTGAAGAACAGCCTGTGATACAAACACTAGAAGCTAAAGGGTCAGTAAGTGTGTGTCTCTTTCCCAGATGCTAACCTGTAATTATGGAACCAGTTGATGACAGTACTGGTCTTCAGGTTGAGCTGGGAGGCCAGCTCCTCAATGGTTTTGGGGGAGGGATAGGGCTTCTGCTGGTAGGCCCTTTTCAGGGCCTCTTTCTCCTCGGGGCCCAGCACCACCCTGGGCTTCTTCAGGTGCTGCTGTCCCGGGCTCTGGGAGCCCTGGATGTAATCTGGCCCCACTAAACCCACGTCCACAGAATGGCCATCACTCAAGGAGCTCAGCCGCCTCTTCATGTAAGCTGAGCAGTGACACAAAAACAAGAGGGGAAAGTCAGTACCTCAGGAAATACACTGATGTGATGAACAAATATTAGGAATATCAATAAAAACATATCTGCAACAGATTGGGGATGTTGTCTATAAATCTCCACGACACCAAGCTGTTGTTTATAGAGGCTGATATCTTTGTTGATAAGCGTGGAATTTGAAGTACAACTCGCCCGGTTCAAAACTGTTATTGTGGATTAGCTGATTAGACCACAGATTTATCAGTTAGCTATTAGTTAAGTAGTCGACTACTCGATTAGTCAATTGAAAGTCGAGCAAAATTCTCAAACATGAATATTTGATTCTGTCTCTCTCTTCTATGACAATAAGTTGAAAATATTCGAGTTTGGGGACTGTTGCCCAGACAACACAAGATATTTGAAGGCGTCAAATTGGACTGATGGACCTTCTTCACAATCTTCTGACATCTTACAACCAAACAATTAGTCAGAAACATTACTGGTAGACTTATGATCAGTGAAAATAATGGTAAGCTGCAGGCCTGTACTGTTTTATATTGTTTATATAGCTGTTTTGGATTTTTTTCAATTGCATTGGCATTTTTAAACAAGAGATTTCTGTATTTGTAATCAGCATTAAACACACTGTCCTGAGCTCTACTTCAGTGCTAAACAGACTGTAAGATAATCAGATGGTCTTACTCATCAGAAGTCTGTCACTGTGGATATTTCATGCCTGACAAATGCATGCCAGCAGGAAATGTTTGCATTAACTATACTGCACCAGACACCATTCTACATAAATAATCCAGCCATCCTCTTCAACGGCCACTAGGTGGTGCTATCCTCCTTCTCAGGAACTCTAACAATGAAAGCATCTCTTCCATTTTAAAGCAAACAAGCAGCACCATTCACTCGGGGCACCAGCAGCTGAAAATGAACAGCTCATGGCAGCTTTGCATGAGGTTGACATTTTCTCAACCCCAATACACGCTGCCAGATATATTAGTGTTGCGGGGAAAAACCCCTCAGAGCAAGGTTAGACCACTCTGAAAGTTGTGTGCCGCCTCGCAGGCTTGTACCGCAAGGGTGAGAGGTCAAATATGGTTACTCTAGACTAGGTCCATGTCTTTCCTCTGGGCTCTGCTGTTGGCCAGGACTATTCCCCGTTGCTATGTGGATGCATTACTTTGGGGTCAATAATCTGAAACGAAGTTGAATGGAGAGCAACCCCACATGTCCACAACCCCAAACACACTGGCGTAAGGTCAGTTTTGTTTTTTGCCCTTGTGTGTAGACAGCAATATCAGGAGGGTAATCTGATCCCGGCTGCGTTTGCCTACTGGCAGGTTCAAATACGCATATCCTATCTGCACAGAGAGAGCTTCAAGTGGGCAGTCAGGGGTCACTGTGAGGCAGCGAGGAGGGCGAGGCCTCGTGGCTTTGATGATTCCTAAAGGCATCATGCAAACAGAAGGGAATAGAGAATGATGGAGTAATAGAGAGGGCTATGGGCTAACAAATGATAAAAATACGAGCTTATAGACACTGGTGATTATTATGATGATGACGATGATGAAGAGGAGTGCTGATGACTGTGAGTAAGCAGGCCCCTGGCAGTCCCCTAGCTGTCACATCTAATACAGTATGTGATGTCTGCAGTCCTGATTGGTACTGACATCACACCAAGATGACTGTGATCTGCACAACATGCTCTGCTGTCCTGCACAAAGGATATTGTGTGTGCAGATGTGCATGTGTAATTCAAAGGCTGCTGCTTCTTGTGGTTTTTTTTGTGTGTGTGAATGTATTTATAAAATAAATGCATGCCAAAGCAGATAACATGAAAGTTTTTCTGTCATAGTCTTTGGTTCATTAGGCAAAAGGTGTGGAGTGTGCATTTATGTGTCGCCATCAAGCTTTTACTACACACCTTTCTTCTCCAGGCGTTTCATGTCCATGAGTTTCTCCACACTGTGTGGGTCCTGGAGCCAGAGCTGCATGCGGACGAAGGGCTCTCTGCCCTTGAGACTGAGCTTGTGCCAGGGTTTGGGCCTGGCCAGCAGGTCTGAGACAGAACCCTGAGTCAGACCCAGGATAGTCTCCCCAAACAGACGCTGGCCTGGTTAGGGCGAGAGCGAGAGCGAGAGAGAGAGGGAGAGAGAGAGAGAGAGAGAGAGAGGGGAAATGTGACGGTCGTTTCAGAAAACTGATTCAAAAGCTGAATAATTCATCATTGGGGAGGGAAGGGGAAAGAAAAAAGAGCAACTAAACCACCCAGACTGCACCTCCCATGTTTCTTACCAAGGTTATTATCAGTCAGCACCTCCTTAACCTTCTTGGTGATGGCGTAAGTATCGAGCTCTGGAGACATTGCGACCATTTCCTGGATGCTGAGACCCGAATGACCAGGAACAGGCAGTGGGGTGCCGGGCTGAGACTCCCCGCCTGACGGATCCTCAGACGCAGGTTTGAGACTGGAGGACTGTGAAGCGAGTGGATCCCCTGTGAGGCCGTTGACAGACTCCTCAGCTGAACTGAGCGGGGACTCTGGAGCAGGGCTGCAGCTTGCTGATGTCTTGGGAGTACCCTCTGCATGAGGAGAACAGACAGGGTGAGAAATATCACGCAGGTTAAAAGACATGTTACCATGTACAAAAACAGAGTTTCATCTCCTCTCCCTGCTGGGTTTGGGAGGGACCTCAGTCATACTACATCAACTAATTTAATTCCTGTTAAACAAACAGCAAAGGTGCTTAAGTTTTCAGTTTGAAGCTTTTTTGGCTTCCTCCTCCTATTCCTTCATCTCCCTGTCTCTGTCTGTGTAGTACTGCTGTGCAGCTCAGCAGGCTGGAAGAGAGCAGTCATGAGGAGCTGTCAGTGTACATTAGCTGCTGTTTACACCCCCAGAGAGAAAGAGAGACACGCACATGCGCGCACACACACACACACAGAGCTGCCATCTGGCGCTGCAACACTAACTTGTCTATGACATGACAAACCAGCAGCTTGCTGGCTGACACTGCCACAGCACTGAGGATGGGGGGATGGTGGGAGGAGAAGGGAGGGAGGGTGGAACGGGGGGGGGGGGGGG